CGCTGGAGGCGCTCTTCGTGCAGAACCAGTACCCCGACGTGGGCACTCGCGAGCGCCTGGCCGGCCGCATCCGCCTCCGCGAGGAGCGCGTGGAGGTGGGTGCCCGTCCTCGCCTCTTCCGCCACCTCCGAGGAGCAGGTCCGCGGTCCCAGGCGAGGGGTGGGAGCTTGAGCGGAGGTCAGGCTTGTTTTTTCTTTAGTTTTAAACCACCTGCGCCCCGCCCCCATGAGAAATGAGGTGCGCATCCCTGTTTCGGAATTTGGGAAGCTTAGAAGAGCGCAAAGTTGCAGAGGGGGCGTCCCGGGTGCCGCCAGACGGAGTCCGGGCCGGGAATGGGCAGGCAGGGATCCTGGTCCGGGTGGGAAAGAGGTTCGGGTCCCGCAGCAAGAGCCGCCGTCCCCACCTGCAGCGGTTGAGAGACAGTGGCACAGCCGCTGCCCGGGGCCGGCTCCGCAGCCCGGGTTCCGAAGCCCCGCCAGTTGATTTGGGGAGCCGCGCGTTTCGCGTGCCCTGGGGCCAGGCCTGCCTGAGCGCGTCTCCTTCTCTCAGGTCTGGTTCAAGAATCGCCGTGCCAAGTGGAGACACCAGAAGCGCGCGTCGGCGAGTCTCCTGCCCGGAGCCAAGAAGGCCTCGAAGGAGAGCTGCTGACGGCTCTGGGAGTTACCCCTGGGCTTGGCCGGTCCCTGGGGCCGGCTCAGGGAGAGGACAGAGGTGTCCTGATCGGAGCTGGGAGAGGAGACCAGCCTCTTCCGTGATGTCTGTACAGCTGCCTGTGCCCTTGAGCTTGGCGCAGGACCCCTCTGCATGTGGCCCAGCGCCGCCCGCCCCGGGGATGAGAGGGCGTGGATGCCCGATGCTCTGTGTGCTCTCCTACCCAAAGGCAAGAGGGCAGGAGGGCCGGTGAGATTCAGGGGTGGGGTTGCAGGGCACAGAGCAGGTCAACTTCTTCAACCCCCCCACCACACCCCAGGAGGGACTAACATGCCCTGGGACAGGAGCTGCCCCTTGTCAACACCCCAAATCCCCTTCCCCTCCTCCACATGCTGGCTCCCTCCTCTCCTCAGCAGGACAAAGCCCCCTTGACCTGGCCTGTAACCCTCCCGAGGAGGGGCCTGGGCGTCCCGACTTGCAGAATAAGGAGCTTGGGTGAGATCATCTCCAGAGCCCCTTTCCTACGCCTCGGTTTCGAGTCCTGTGTGCACTGAGAAATAATTAAGCAACTACAGACACTGAAAAAGCAGTCCAGACCCCGAAGTCCTCGATGGCTCCACTCTGTGCTCAGCCAGGACCTGCCCGTCTTCTCTCCTTCCTAGGGAGCCGGGGCAGCTCGTCACAGCCCGGTGAGTCCAGGGTGCCCTCAGCAGAGCAGACTGCCCCACAGATCATGGCCCAGCACCCTGGGGGCCTACACTGGCCTCTAGGAGCTGCTTCTTGGGTGGGGGTCCTTGGCTTCCCCTCTGTGGGGGGTTTCCATGCAGTAGCATCTGCCTTCCTCCCAGCAGTCAACTCTGCCTCCCTGTGGGGGCAAGAAGAGGTTTGATTGAGAAGGATCCTCCCCACTGCCTTGGAAAATGCCTGCTGTTCCTCCATCACCCTGGCCCTGTGGTGAAGGACATCATGAGAACAAGGCTTCAGTTCCCCAAGTTGGCCTGTATAGTGGATGCGAGTCACCTAACACACCCTCACCTGGCTCAGGGACCTGGTTCTGCCTCCTCACAGGTCCTGGAGGAAATGGGGCAGGGGTAATCTGGAAGGAGACACAGGCCATCCACAAAAGGTGCAGAAGTCAGGGTTGCAGCTTAGATAACACTAAGTGCGAGGGGTCCCCAGCCAGGGCTACCCTAACACTGCCGGGGTCTCTGGGACAGTGGCTCTCACTCACTCGCAGGATGCACACTTCTGGGTGTCACAAAGCTCTTCTCCCTGAACCCTGAATGTATTCCTGGAGACTGCACAGACTGCCCACAGAGCTTTCTCACAGGCTGGGACATCTTCATCTCCCTGGGTCCCAAGACCCTCACCCTCATGGGCTGAGTGGCTATTTGTCACTGTGCAGGGCACCTGTGATCAGAGCTTCACTTTCAAGGCCATGCTACCCTCCTGGTTTTTCCTTCATCTGCAGCTGTCTCAGGCAGGCTTGCCCCATAGTGACCATGAACGTCAGGGGTCCTTTGGGCCGTGATCAGGCACTTGCCTCTAATCTCCATCCTCACCCTGGTTTATCTCTTCTACCCTCTGATTCCCATCCCCGTCCCACATTGACATCCCAGCCCAGGCCTCTGCCCTGTGCTAGACAGTTATATCCAGCCATCCCTTTGATTACTCCACCTGGAAGGCCACAGCTCCTCTAAGTCACCTTGTGCACTGCAGTCTCTTCCCCTGTGCATCCCAGGTGCGTGAGCCAGGGAGCTGGCAAATACCCCCACCCCTCCTCTTCCTCACCCAGCAAACCCAGGCCAACAGCAAGTCAATTTTACCTCCAAAAACAATCCCAGAATCTGTCCTCTCCCAGCTTTACCTGCACCTACCTGATGAAAACCACCGTCATCTCTCACTTTGACTCTTGCAGCTGCCTTCAGCTTGTCCTCCTGCACCCACTCTTGTTTCTCTGTAATTCATTCCCTGTAAAATCCAGGGTGCAAGTCTGGACCTACCTCTCCCCTACCTACAGCAGTCCAAGGGATTCCCACTGCTCCTAGAGCAAAGGCAAAACTCTCCTTGGCCCATGACCCATGAGGCTTGTGCAGCCTGGCCCTGTTCCTCTGGCATTGGTCCCCACCCCGCTGGTCCTTGCACTCTGTGTATCCAAAGGTCTCCTCCCGCTGGGTCTTCACACATGCTCTCCCTCCTCCGCCTCGCCAATGTCTGCTCATCCTTTGGATCTGCAACCACTCCCTTCCCTGGGGAAACTGCCACTGGCTGCCTTCTGGGTAGGATGCCCCGTAGAGGAGACTCTTTCCTTGTGCCTGCCTGCTGCAGTTTCACGCTTGTCTGTGAGATGATCTGACTAGTGTCTGTCCTCCGCGGCTGACTGTCAGCTCCATGAGGGCAGGAATCATCACCATGGATTCCCCAGTGAATGCGGGAGTAACTGCCTAACGGAATCATTCTGGGACAGAACATACTTGACATATTTCACACCCTCCTTTCAGGAAAAAATGATTGTTCCTCCAAAATGCTTAGGCAATTTTCTGGTGCATTTCAATAAGAATTAGCCTTCTGGGAATTTAGGGACCAGACATTTCTTGCATAAAGTTCTAATAAAAACATTGAAACGCGTATATAATGAGGTTTTCTGAAGAGTGTGTTTTTGTTTATAATGTGGAAGCATACGCGGCGATTATTTGCGAGCTATTGAATTTCCAAGGCCTTCCAATTCCGAAGTGCTGGAATTTTTCACGGTTAGCGGGAACGCGCGCCCTTGAGTCCCTCCACCACAGTGCCCCCTGGCGTCCACAGCCTAGACACGCAGGGCCAGAGCGGGGCGGGACAAAGACTACAACTCCCATAGGGCAGCGTGCTCGGATGACGTCATCACGGGGCGCGGGCCGGCCTTCCAACGGCCTTGCTCTTCCATTGGTCGGCTGCCTCAGGCGCCTGCGCAGCTGGCGCGCCCCGCCCCCCGCTCGTGACGCGCCGCGCCGCCTGGGAAGTGCTGGGATAGCGATGGAGACGCCCGGCGCGCCGGCTCGGGCCCTGCAGCTGTCCGCCGCGTCAGGGCCCCGGAGGAAGCGCGCGGCGGGCGAGGCGGGGGCTGTGACGAGCAGGCAGCGGGTCCTGGACGAGGAGGAGTACATCGAGGTGGGACTCGGCGCCGACGCCCGCGTCTCCTGGGCTCCCCGCCCCAGCTCCCCCGGGTCCCAACACCCCCGTCTCCTGGCGGAGGTGGAAGAGCCGAGTCCCTGCCTCGGGGTGTGGACAGTCGGAGGGCCAGACAAGCACAGGGCGGAGCGAGGTGTTCTTGCAGTCGGGGAAGTGGGTGGATGTGTTTGTATGATGTGGGGGTCAGGAGAGCAGGGTGTTAGTAAAGCATCAGTAGGAACTTGGGAGGACGCGGCCAAGAGCGTTTCCTGGAGAGCTGTCAGAGCAAGCGCTAAGGCCAGGGGTTCTGGAAACAGGCTGCCACTAGTGGCAGCATCGAGTGGTTGGGCCTCCCAGCATCCTTGAAGTAGATCTTAATCCTACCGCAAACCCTCGGTGGGAGGAGCTGGCACGGGGCTTGGAGGCAGTCGCTTAAGTTTGGGAGGTCTCTGGGACATGCAGGCAGGTGGCATGAGTGGACAGCTGGATGCACAGAGAAGCAGCTCAAGAGCAAGGTCCAGCTGGAGGTGCAGAGCTGGGGATGTCAGCCAGTGCTGGTGGTGGGGGTGACAGGCAGAAGTTGTCCAGGTAAAGGGTTCAGATTGGGAATAGGAGGTCAGAGGTGGAATGAGGTGTCAGTGCCCACACTGGTCCAGCTAGTGGGGAGGTGGAGCCAGCAGAGGAGCTAGAGAATGACAGGTTAGTGAGGGAGCAGGAAGGCTTTGCAAGTGTCCCCCAGCTCTGGGGATCGTTGGGCTGGACAGAGGTTGGGGGCCTCAGCTTGTACATCGTGAACTGAGACGCAGGGGAGAAGCAGACGGAAGCTCTGATGGGTGTCTTGATGCCTCCTTCAGGGCCTCCAGACCGTCATCCAGAGGGACTTTTTTTCCCGATGTGGAGAAGCTGCAGGCTCAGAAGGAGTACCTGGAGGCAGAGGAGAGCGGGGACCTGGAACGGATGCGCCAAATTGCCATCAAGTTTGGCTCTGCCCTGGGCAAAATGTCCCGGGAGCCCCCGCCGCCCTGTAAGAGAACTCCCATGGTGGGGGCAGGGCGGGGGCTCCACTGAACTGTTGTCTCAGGCTTTCTCTAACCCCCTACCCTTCTCTTCCCCGAGACGTGACTCCAGCCACGTTTGAAACCCCCGAAGTGCACACAGGCCCCGGGGTGGTGGGTAACAAGGCCCGGGGCCGGGGCCGTGTCCTGGAGGATGGCGATGGTAAGTGAACACCCTCCTTCTGTCTCACTGCTGGGTTTGCCCAGGAACCTGATCCTGTGGGGTCCTGGGGTGTCCAGGGGCGGAACACATCTTGTCTCCGGGGTCTCTTAGCCAAAATGGCGACCTGTGCGGTCTAGGAGCACTGGTCTGGCAGGCAGAAGATCTGAGTCACAGCTCCCAGTAATGGGGAGTCCTCTGAGTCTGCAGTGTGGGAGTCTCAGCTCCCCTCTCCCCGCCCTGCTCGCTGTATGCCCGCGCCTGCCCGGTGGGCATCCTGGGCCTCAGAGAGCTCCTTCCCTTGCTGTTTCTTTAAGATGCCTCGGGGTTTCGTGCTTGCATCTCCCAAGCTGGTCCCTCTCCTGGGCAACTGCTCAGCCAGCCAGCTCCTCCTCTTCCTTCAGGTCTCTGCTCAGACGCTGCCTGTCGGGGAAGCCTTCCTGACTACCCAGCGTAAAGTCACGTCAGCCCTGCACTCTGTGCATTGCTGCCTGGTTCTGTTTTCTCACCTGAGGACACATTTTAAAAGGCATTTCTGTTTGTTTACCATCTCTCTCTGCGAGAGCGGTTTCCCTTGCTCTGTCTGTACGGCCTACACCTAGAACAGTGCACGCTGGCCGTCTCCAGCACGGTCCTGGGGTGTAACGATTCACCTGGACTTTTGCGGGGAGCCTTTCCCAGGAGGAGTCCCGTGAATACAGTGCACAGTGGTCCCTGGGCTCCTCCCAGTCGCTGCTTTGTCAGTGGTGGGATGTGTGCATGTGGACAGAGGTGCGCTTGCTCGCCCAGGCTCACATCCATGGCACACATGCCTCTGCTCGCACACTGACCTGACGTTTCCTGCTTCAGAACCCCGCCTTCCACCATCTGCACAGCATCCTGGTGTCCTTGGAGCTTGGTTCTCCGTTGCAGCATGGCATGTGAATCACAGGCAATTGGCAGTCTTTTCTGTCATGTGTTACTTGTTAGAGGATCCAGGAGTCATCTCGATAATCTGAGCGTAGATACCGTGTCATTCAGGTTACAGGCGAAGCCACCAAGGCCCCGGGAGGCAGTAACTTCTGCAGGACTCAGGGTTATTGGTGGTGGGATGGGGTCTGAGTGCCCATCTTTCTCACACTAGTCTTGAACTTTTAGCCACCGTGCTTTGTGTGTGGTCTAGCAGGTCGTAAGTGGACGAGAAACTGCTGGTGGGGAGAAGAGGCAGACCCCCAGCGTGCCCCCCCATCCCCACGGTCTGCGCTGCACCACCTCAGTGGGGTGCCCTTTCACTGCTGGTCGCCAGAGTGGCCTGGGTTGTGACCTAGTGCCTTTGACTGTTCCTCCCCACCGCTGCAACTGCTAGAATAAAGAGGGTCTTTGCCTTTAGGTCTACAAGCAGGTCACAAGGCTTAGGTGACAGTCCCTCATCTGTGGCACAGGGACTAGGAAGAGAGGACATCACAGGGACAGAGGGACAGCCCAGGGCTCTGGAGGGCTGGCATGGGTTTGGCAGGGTTAGACCCGCCGTGGTCCTCCTGCCCAAAGGCCTACTACTGCCTCCCAGTCTAGGTCAGAGACCACACTTGATGGGCATCCAGCAGAGGAGGGGCCCCTGAGGACGCTGGGCAGCTGGGCGGGAGGGATTCCACCCCAGGTAGGGGTAGTCTGGCAGGGCGAGCTCTCCCCGGACGGACCCACAGGGTTCCAGCCCTGCTCACAGGGCAGTGCAGATCCCAGGACTGGGTGACTGAAGCTTATGCCGTTGGCGGTTGTGTGTCCCCCTGTCCCCTGTGCAGGAGAGGCCGGAGAGGAGGAGGAGAAGGAGCCCCTGCCCAGTCTGGACGTCTTCCTGAGCCGGTACACGAGCGAGGACAACGCCTCCTTCCAGGAGATCATGGAGGTGGCCAAGGAGAAGAGCCGGGCACGCCACGCCTGGCTCTACCAGGCTGAGGAGGCGTTTGAGAAGGTGTCCCTGGGTGCAGCGGCGGAGGTGCCCTCCCTTGGGGTTGGGGGGTCCCAGAGCCTCTCTGACCCCACATCCCCTCGCGACACAGAGGCAGAGAGAGAGTCTCGCACTCCCATCGGCAGAGCACCAGGCCATCGAGAGCGGCCCGGCTGGCGTGGAGACCTGGAAGTACAAGGCCAGGAACTCCCTCATGTACTACCCTGAGGGTGAGAAGGGGGACGTCTGGTCAGGGGGGTCCTGGTCCTACCCTGAGGGTGAGCGGGGGCATATGAGATCAGAGGGCATCCTGGTCCTACCCCAAGGGTGAGCAGGGGAGCGTAGGGTCAGGGGGTGGTCCTGGTCCATCTCCCCAGTTCTGTCCAGGCTGTTCTCCGTGCTTCTCCTGAGGCCCTGAGCCAGGGTTGGAGGGGGCCCTGCCCGTCCTGATGCCGCGGCGTCCCTGTTTCGTCTCCAGGTGTCCCTGATGAGGAACAGTTGTTCAAGAAGCCCCGGCAGGTTGTGCACAAGAACACCCGTTTCCTCCGGGATCCCTTCAGCCAGGCGCTCAGCAGGTCCCAGCTGCAGCAGGCTGCCGCCCTCAATGCCCAGGTGCGTGCGGGGCCGCTGTGGTATCACCACCTCTCTGTCTCACTGACTGTCTTTGGGCTCAGCAGAGCATGGCAGCACGGGGGTGCTCGGGGTTCCTGTGTGGCAGGGTCTGGAGTCTTTTCTCAATCTGTAGGGGCTTCCATTGGCCACTGTCTCAATCAGACACGTTGTGTGGGTCGGACCTGTGCCAGCTCCTTGAGAGGCAAGGGTATGAGAGAAGAAGGGCAGCTGGCAGCCAGCCCAGGCCGGCCCGGGGGCGGGCAGTGAGAGGATGGGCTGAGGGTAGCGGATGGCAGAGGTTTCTGTCCCCGGGAGTTACTGTGCAGCAGTGGCTTTGGTGGTCAAGGGGCCCAAGGGGACAGGCAGGAGGTGGGAAGGCTGTTTTGGAGGCTTTTCCAGGGTCCTAGTGGGACAGATCAGAGCACAGGTGCCCTGCTTAGCATAGCCTCTGCGGGGCCTGACGTCAGGAGCCCCTGAAGATGGCACCCGTGGGGTGTGGCCAACGCCCCGGCCCTGCACTGCCCTGTCCTGCCCTGCGCAGCAGGAGGGGAGCCTCCCTCCTTTCCCTTGGGGCTGCCCTGGGTGGGCAGGTGACCAGTATGTTCCTATGCTCCCCTCCGCGGCCAGGGAGAGTGGGCTGAGCGCCTGACACTGCCTCTCTTCTTGTTCCAGCACAAACAGGGCAAGGTGGGCCCAGACGGCAAGGAGCTGATCCCCCAGGAATCCCCCCGAGTAGGCGGATTTGGATTTGTGGCTACCCCTTCTCCTGCCCCTGGTGAGAAGCGTGCCCGCCAGCAAGCTGGCCCACTGCTGGGATGGCCTGGGGGGAGGTGGGCTGCCTGGCTGACCCCAGCCACTTCTGGTGCTCCCTGGGTCTGCCCTCTACCTATGTGACTTGGACCCGGGGTCCCATCTGTGCGATGCCAGGGCTGAGCGGGACTGGGGATGGGCTGGACTCTCAGGCAGGCCCCACCTGAGACGCAGGGCCAGCTGGTCTAGCTGGGTGGTCCCTGTGCCTTGCCTGGGTGCCTGAGTGCAGCAGGACAGACTGGCAGGAGCAGCCCCAGGGCCTCAGAGGGTGGCCAGACTGGGGCCTGGAGTGTGGGGAGTCCCATGGGCGCCAGGCAGGTTTTGACTCCTGTAAGATGTGTGTGGAAGCTGAGCTTGGTCTGCAGGAGGCTGGGTTCACCTCGGGCCTCAAGAGGTCCTGCAGGGCTGGGTGTCCCCGTCAGTCCTGGGGTGGCGTTTCCTCATTCTAGGTCTCATGTCAGCAGGTGTGTGGCATTTACAAATTAAACCCAGGGTGCACTGCAGGCTTGTGAGATTCAGAGTGGCCTCGGGCCTGTGCTGGTCTCTGTACCCTGGGGCCCCGGGGCGCTGGTGGCTGTGATGTGGCCAGGGCTTGTGAAGGCGCTGTGGGTTTGGCCAGGCTGCTGGGAGGTGTGGGAGCCCTGGAAGCCCCCATGAGTTTTCTCCCTTGGGGTGGGGTCCCCTGAGTGGCCCTGCTTCAGGCCCGCAGTGGCCTGGGTTCTGGTGTCCTGGAGAGAAGGCCACCTGCCAGCTTTGGGGCTTGTGAGCTGGGTCCCCCCCACCAAGTCCCTGGCCTGAGGAGGCTGTGGGCTGTCCACCTGCAGGTGTGAACGAGTCCCCACTGATGACCTGGGGGGAGGTCGAGAACACGCCCTTGAGAGTCGAAGGATCCGAGACGCCCTGCGTGGACAGGACACCAGGACCAGCCTTCAAGGTAGGTCATGGTGAGGTCCATGCCAGCACGGATGGGGCCCGGCATGGACACAGGGCGTTCGAAGTACCCATAGCTCAGTACACAGAGGGCCCAGCTGCCGCCGCTCACATCCAGGCCGCACACCTATGTGAGCACTGTGCTTCTGCGTAGGATCCGGCACCAAGGACAGGTGTGGCACGTGGGTGTGCTGAGGAAGGACTCGGGGTGGAGTGTGGGCAGGGCACCAAGGTTGGGAGCCACCACAGGCCCTCTAAGCCTGCAGGCCTGGAGGACGGGGCCGTCCAAAGATGAGGGGTGTGCAGAGGCGGGCCAGGAGCTCCAACTGGGCTGCAGGCCTGAGGGCCCCAGCATTCTAGGGGACGCGGTTTGTGTCCTTAAGGGCTGTGTGCTTTCAGGGAGGCCCTTTGTGGGTGAGCAGGAAAGCTGGGTGGCAGGTGGTCTCTAGGGATGCAGTGGTCCCGGGAGGTGTGGACGTGTGGGCAGGCAAGTGGGGCCCTAGTGCCACGTAGGAAGGAGGTACCCTGGTCTGCACACAGTTTGTGGGGAAACTGAGTGACTGGCCTAGTTTGGAGGGGGAAGGGGAGTTCAGGATGCTGGGGTGCTGCCATGTCCGGGGGTCGCTGGGGCAGAGGTTGATGGTGTGGTAGAGAACAAGGGGCGCAGGGTCATATCGACTGCTTGGAAACCCCAAAGAATCGGGCGTTGAATCTGAAATTAACATAGGTCTGCAAAGGGTCAGGGTCGTGGGTCTCTTCAGGTACTGGGGTGACAGATCTGAAATATAGAGGAAAAAGCATCAGTCACCGCAGCTCAGAAAGTGTGATCACTGGGAGAGACTCGGCTTCAGAGAGGAAGCCCAGACCTACGGGGTGGTGACGCAGGGAGAGCGGGGTGCGGGGGAGGTGCATGTCCAGACATCGTGTGCTGGACCCGGGCACCATGGTTCTCAGTGTCTGGGGCGCGGGGACAGCAGAGAGGAGCCTGTGGCGGTGTGGAGGGGGCGGGGGCGGGGGCTGGGGGCAGTGATGTTGGGCGTGGCGCCCTCCTGGCAGGCGTGTCAGGACTGAGCCGAGGTAGAGGAGGCAGCTCACGCCATGAGGGCTATTTGGAAATAAAGTAAACCGGGTCCTTCATTTGCTATGCAGGTGGAGTTCCAGCAAGATGGAGAGGTTAAATACACAAACAGTGACTGTAAAACTTCAGTATAAAATATCAGTCAGCGTTTAATCTGACATTAAGGCAGGAGAGACCGTAAACGTAACAGCGAAGGGAAAAGTCACAAAGGAAGTGGGAGCTGGATTACGCTACGGGAAGGTGTCAGCTTTAAGTACAGCAACAAACGTCAGAAGTGAACCTTAGAGTGACTGGAGAGAAGCTATTGTTAATGATGTTAACACAGTCAATGGAGATGAAGCTTCTGTAGATGCGAAAGCAAAGGAAAAACCAGGATAAACACCCCAATAGAAACGCAGGCCCAGGATGTCCTCAGGTTCTTTAAAAAATTAAGGAAAGTCAGTAAAGGTAGAGCCGCTTGCTCTGGCCATCCGAAGGAAGTGGACTAAAACAAGACCCCTTTCCCGAAGGGTGGCTGCAGGTCCTGGACTGGGCAGTGGCAACTGGGCAAGGGGGCAGGCCCTGGGTGGGAGGGCAGCTCAGGCTGGCTTTCCAGGGTCTTTCAGGGGCTAACAACCATGGCTTGTTGGGATGGTGGCAGCCACAGCAAGAGGCTGCTGCCCCTAGCCGCATGGACTGCCTGGCGTGGGGCAGGTGGCCCAGGCCACCCACACACCTGCTCTTTCAGATCTTGGAGCCTGGCCGCAGGGAGCGGCTGGGACTGAAGATGGCCAATGAAGCTGCCGCCAAGAACCGGGCCAAGAAGCAGGAGGCCCTGCGGAGAGTGACGGAGAACCTGGCCAGGTGAGGGGCGGCCTTGCCGTGCTGGGGTCTCTCCCTGCCCTGCCTGCCTGGCCCCCCACAGCCTGGACACGCTTAGAACCAGGGTGTGGGGGGGTCCTGCAGTGGTCCCTCTGGTCCAAAATGCAGCCCTTTCCACTGGTCTGCAACTGCCTCCTGGGCTTATTGTCCCCTCCAAGCTCCTGTCCACCTTGTTGGGTCGGTGTCATCGCTGCCCCTGGAGAGGGTTGGGGGCCACACCCTTGACCTCAGGTTTGGCCTCACTCTTGTGTGCCAGGCTGTCCAGGGTCCCCAGCCCAGAATGACCACACATCTCCCTCCTGTGGGGGCGCCTGGTTGGGCCTAACCTGCCTCTCTCGCCCCCTTTCCACCACAGCCTCACCCCCAAAGGCCTGAGCCCAGCCATGTCACCAGCCCTGCAGCGCCTTGTGAGCAGGACGGCCAGCAAGTACACGGACCGGGCCCTGCGGGCCAGCTACACACCATCCCCTGCTCGCTCCACCCATCTCAAAACCCCGGCCGGCGGGCCACAGACCCCGACAGGCACACCGGCTCCAGGCTCTGCCACACGCACCCCTCTCAGCCAGGACCCAGCCTGCATTACGGACAACTTGCTTCAGCTCCCGGCCCGACGCAAAGCCTCCGACTTCTTCTAGGGCCAGGCCTGTGCTGAGCCCACAGGCAGCTCTCTGCCTAGCAGAGGACTCCGGCTTTCTGGAGACCCAAGCTTGGGCCAGAAGCAGTGAGCTTCCGGGAGCCACAGAGGGAAGGTGCTGGGCTGGCAAGGGACCATCCCCGTGGCCCTCAGGGCGCACCTCAGGCCCCACTGATACGTTTCTACTGCACCCCTGCCTGTTTGTATTTAACTGTCAGTAAAGAGCACGCACAGTCTGCCAGGCTGCCTCCCCACCTGCCACCTACATGCAGGGGCCTCATGCCTGCACCACACACCCTGGACCGCTGGCCTCCTGGAGAAGAGGCCTCTGGGTGGGGTGACCCTTGGAGGCCAGGGTGTCTGGGCCATCCTGCCACCGCCTGCATTGCTCCCTGAGGTCCCCCTGGGGCTCGGGACCTGCCTTCTGAGCCAAGCTCCCAGCCCCTTGGTTCTCCCACACCCATTCTCTTCCTCTGAGGGAGGGGTGGAGCCCTTGAAAGTTGTGCCTCCACGTTCATCTGGGGTTCTGGGCCCAGGTCCACAGCCTCTGGCCAGGCCTGGCCTGTGTGGTTTGCTGGTGGCCAAGCTGTATGTGAGGCTGCTCCCTCAACAGGATGCATCTTCCCAGGGCCTCAGCCATCACCCCCCAGGTACCTGGCTTCCAGCTTAGGGTGGGGGCAGGGCTGTCCCCATCTCCTCCACCTACCTCCGCCTGCCGCATGCTGCCTCGTCCCCAGCCTCACTGTGTTGTCATCCAGCAGCGGAAGCGCCAGTCACAGTAACCTGGGCTGTAGGGCCAGAAGCAGTGGGGCTGGGCTTCATGTGGACCTCAGAGCACCTGTGCACCCCAGCAGGCACTTGCCTGGGGGTGTACCCTCCTGGGTCCCACCCCCCAACCCCTGCCCAGGGGCTTGGGGCCAGCTCTTCACAGGGAGGTGGGCTGCTTCTAGATGTGTCTCTTTAGGCCTCGGGTGGGTGGAGTTGTGCTCAGAGAAGAGTCTCTCCTGCTTTGAGCATGTGCAGTCCTGCTCCAGGCCATCCTCGTGCTCCCTGGAGGCTGCCTAGGTGCCTGCTGGCCCCCAGGAAGTGGGGAGGCAGGGGCCTGGGGGGGGTGGAGGGGAGGGGCACATAGTGGACACAGTCCAGGCAGGGCCACCCAAGGCCAGGTGCTGACCACCCTGAGTGCTTGGCTGGCACGTGGAGAGTGTGCAGGGGTAGCAAGGGCAGGTGACAGAGTGGTGTGGGCCACTGGAGCAGGGGCAGGGGCAGGGAGGGAGCGCTGCTGAAAGGCTTTGGCTTCATGGTCTCCCACCCCAACTGTGGGATGGAAGAGGGGTGGCGTCCAGGAGGGGCTCCTGAGGGCAGGGCCAGAGTTGGTGGGGGGAGGCACTGGGCCGGGCAGGTCAGGGAGACCCGTGGGGGCCTGGTAGGTGGGCCGCCGGGACTCCCCTTGCCCACAGGCCTCACTAGGAGTCCGCCTGGGCCCCGCGTCGCAGGGAGGGTGGCTGCTGAGTCCTAGAGAAAAAGACTTCTCGTGGGGCTGTATGCATTCTGCGGTTTATTTCTGGTCAGGAATGAACGTCTTTGCTACTAAGTGGAAGAAAGCTAATGGAACGTAATCAAAATAGTGGTTTAGTTGACGGATTTTACTTGTTCTTGCACCTGTGCCTTCTTCAGCTCCTACCTCCTACTGAGCTCATGGGCGCTCAGCGCGCCACGCCCCCCGGGCCCTCTGCACACTAGGTGCTTGCCTTCCCCACCTCGGCTCCGGAGATGTGGTGGTCCTTCGCCCTGGAGGTCTCGGCCAGCCGGTCCTCCAGCCGGTCCTCCAGCCGGTCCTCATTCTCAGGCACCACCAGCAGCCGGTGCTGGGTCTTGGCCCCCAGCTTGTGCTCGGGCCGGTGCTCGGGCCGCGAGCCTGGCCGGGTGTCCAGCTTGCACTCGGCCCGGTACTTGCCCTCTCCCTCCCTCTTGAAGGAGGCCGAAGACATGGCTTTGGGCTTGGGGGGCTGCAGCCACGCGTGGCTGAGGATCTCGTCAATGTGCAGCCGCCTGCTGACGTCAGGCTGCAAGATGCGGTAGATGAGGTCCTTGCACTCGCCCGTCAAGTGCTTGGAGCGTGGGAAGTCCACACGGTGCTCCTTTTGGACGCGCAGCATCTTCTTGATGTCAGAGTCGTCGTACGGCATGGAGCCACAGACCATGATGTAGAGGATGACACCCAGGCTCCAAATGTCGTACACCTTGGGCTGGTAGGGGATGCCCTGCAGCACCTCAGGGGCCGCGTACGCCGCCGACCCGCAGAAGGTCTTGCTGAGGACAATGCGGCCGCTGCCGTCCCGCAGGCAGCGCTTAGAGAAGCCAAAGTCGGACAGCTTGATGTTGAAGTCCTTGTCGAGGAGAAGGTTCTCACACTTGAGGTCTCGGTGGACGACGTCCAGATCATGGCAGTACTTGACGGCCGAGGACAGCTGCCGGAACATCTTGCGCGCTGCGTCCTCGTGCAGGGCGCCTCGGCATTTGATGAACTCCAGGAGGTCGCCCTGGACCCCAAGCTCCATGACGATGTAGATGCGCCCGTCTGAGGTCTCAAAGATCTCGTAGGTCTTGATGATGGAGCGGTGGTTGACGGTCGCCAGGATGTCCATCTCCCGGGGAAGGAATCTCTCCACAAAGTCGGTGGGTGTCTTCTTGCGATCGATGATCTTGACCGCCACGTTGAACTTGAGGCGCTCGGAGTAGGCAGACTTGACTTTGGCGTAGGAGCCCTTGCCCAGGTTGATGCCCACGATGTAACCCTTCTTCCTCAGGACCGCGGCATCGTCCATGGTGCCCGGAGCGGCCGGCGCCGCTTCCCTCTACATCCCCTCCCCACACGGGCCAGCGGGCATTGTCCTCGTTTGCACTATGGGGAGCCGTCTGGCCAGGCTGGGCCTGCACTTGGAGGTGTGGAACGCCCAGCATTGTCCCCGCATGACTTCAGCCTGTGAAGTCACAAAGCCAGGCCACCTGGAGTAGGGACTGGGTGGGGGACGGGCCCTGGAGCCCTGGACGCCAGGCTGGCCTGGCAAGAGTGCTGCTCCCCGCCTGCTGGAAGTGCCACCCAGGACCGCGGTAACCCTCCCTTGCTCCCTCCTTGCTGTGCTGTCCCGTCCACAGTCAGGCCCGGGGGCCCTCAGGTCCAGCCAGCGTGCCAGCCTTTTGCCCAACTCCCATTCCTGGCCATGGGGACTGACCCTGCAATGGTCCTTGCCCCACAGAGGCCCATCTGCACCTTCCTTGGTGTGTAGAGAGCACCCCCTCTTGGGCTTGTGTCTTCAGAATCAGCTCTGCCTGGAGGGACTGCCCTGGTCTGGCTGGGCCGGTGGTTCCAGCCTGAGGGATGAAAGAAGCTGCTGTTAGGGGTGGGGAGCTGGGCATGCCTGGTCGGGGAGGGAAGCTATGGTGCTGTGAGTGCCCAGGACCCTGGGGCTGGCAGACGTGTTCCAAGGGCGGGGCTGCCTGGAGTCTGGTAGAAGTGATGAGGTCCTGCAGGGAAGACCTTGGGAGAGGGACGGGTGTTGTGAGAATGGCTTAGTCCCAGAGTCAGGGGAGGGGAGGAGGGGTGAGGTGGCACCTGGACCCAAGTCACGTGTTAAGATGGGTCCTGGCAGAGGGCGGAGAATGGGCTCTGAGGAGAGTGGAGGCCAGTGCCTGTGACCTGGCAAGAGGAGGCTGGACCAGGGTGGGCCAGGGGAGGGGACAGGACAGGTTTTTGGGGTGCTGGCCAGTGAGTGGGTGGGACCTGGGCGGAGCCTTGCTGCTGAGGGTCCTGGGGGTCGTGGGGGTTGGCAGGACCCAGAGCATCGACTGTTGAGAGCAAGCACTTGGGTGGGGAGGGGTCCGGTCCTGAATTCTGTCACCTGGGACCTTTGTGAGCTGTTGGAGCCCTGGGAGGGTGCACCACTGTGGCATCTCTTAGACTGTCTCTTGCACCTGGAAACAATGTGAAAACCTGTGTGTTCTTGGTTCGGGAAAAAGGGTCCCTGTAGCATCTCCTCAGGTACTTTGCAAGCCCTGCTGTCCGGCTGTCCACGTAGTGCGTGGCCAGGACCACTGTGCTGTCTGCTCTGTGCTCAGGGAGGACGGAGATGTCCTGTTTCTGGGTGGGTGGGAGGGAGGTGACCACGGAGCCCGCAGGCAGAGTGGCCAGTGGGCAGGACATGCATGGCCACGAGCACGGCCACATGGACACACCTGGAGCCGGGGCAGACCCTAGCAGGAGGTCCATGTGAAAGGTCTCAGCAGCATGGCCAGGTCCAGATGCCGTCCTTTCTCCAGGGGAACTTGGGTGAAAATTACCAGAACTTCACTCCTTTGTGTCCCAGAGGGGCCAGCTGCAAGGACCGCGGGCCAGGACCCAAGAGCTCTGCACTCTCCCAGCCTGCCTCACACACCCCCAGTGCTCTGTCTGGGGCACCCAGCATGTCTGCCCTCTTGGCCACGTCCACCACCTGCCTTCCCATTTGTTGTGGACCCTGCTCCTCCATATCCTGCCCTTGCCCAAGACATGCATGCTGAGGGGGGCCGGTGCCACTGGTGCGCTTAGGATGGGGGTTAGATTGGACCAGACTCCCAGGGTACCCCCAGCTGTGGGCCTGTGGTCCGAGACCTGCAGCCGCTGGGATGGCCTTCTTGGAGCTTCAGTCTTCATCTCTTCAGCTGCCCCATGGCTCTAGGCATGGACAGGGCCCTGCCTTCCTGGAAGCCAGGGAGAGTCACTGTCATCCCCACAGTGTGAGTGCCCGGGGGCTGTGCTGTGACACTGAGGGACACTGAGATCAGAGGTCAAGCCACACGGAGCAGGACAGGGACTTCAGTGCACGTGAGATCTGAACGAACAGTGTGGCCGGAGTGTGCCGGGGCGGGGTTGGAGGGAACAATGCAAGCCACCTCCCCAAGCACAGTTGTGGCACATAAGTGGTGGGGAGACGACGGAGGCGGCTAGGAGGCCGTATCTGGGAGAACCTCAAGGGCTAGGCATGAGGACCCTTCCTGCAGGCAGTGGGAGCCAGACTGGGTGCAGGAAAGGGGCTCTGGCCACTGTGGGAAGTCATGGGAGGGCAGGGATGGAGGCCCAGGCGGTGTCTGGGCCATGACACACAGGACCACAGAGCTATGAGGATACAATGTGTGGAGGTAGCTGTGGGGAGATGGAGGAGCTGGCAGAGAACTGGGCTGGATATGGGGCGGGGTGCAGAGAGGGCAGGTCTGGGGCGCTCGGTGGATCTCACCTCTCCCAAGACCCCAACACAGACTGGAGGAGAGGTGACTGTCAAGGTTCTCATTTTCTTGCTGTGTTAAACCTACAGGTCCACACGAGGCTGTTCAGAGTGAGCAAAGAGCCGGAAGAGAACGTAGCTGCCATGGCACAGCCACAGCCGGGTGGTCTTGGCAAGAAACAGCAGAGTGGGCCCCGTGGCACCCAGGGGCCAGTGATGCTCACTGTGAGCCTGCTCCCTCCGCGGACACCAACAGCCACACCGTCAAGCACGAGGACGCCTGTCCTTCCTACTCACAGTGTCAGCATCTCCATTCTGGCAGGGAGCGTCGTCCTGGGGACAGACTGGACCAGAGGGGACAGGGTGTGGTCAGGGCCACACAGTGATGGGGACATGCAGGCTGGAGTAGGGCTGCTCCTGGACGGCAGGGGGAGGGGAGGAGGGCTGGAGGGAAGAGCAGAAAGGTAGAGTTGCCCATGGGGGTTTGGGGGGAGCTCACAGGAGGTTAGCCACCTGCCCTCTGCAGGCCCCTCCCCACTGCAGCCTTCTGGGTCCTCCCTCCCCCCGCCCCTGGCCTGCATCCACCTTGCCCCACCCCGCCTGTCCCCTCTGGGATCTCCAGCCCAGCGCGGCACTTGGGGGCCTCCCTCTCGAGGCAACATCTTCCTTGCTCAGCTCTGCTCTGGGCCAGGGCCCGTGGTCACCACCAGGACTGGGCACACAGGGATGGCTTTTCCCGAGCAGGGAGGTGATTCGCAGTGCCGTCCGAGACTGGGGAGCAGGGGGAGTGCAGGATCCTCTCCCTGGACGACTGGAGCCAGTGGGGCAAAGACATTCACCCCAGAGTCTGCACTAATATAGTGATTTATTGCTTCTTTAGTCACGTGGGTTACCAAGTTCAAAGGGAGGGGAAGAAACTGACGAAAATAGTGGCTCATCTGGGCCTGTCTTCTTTCTTTGGCTTCTCTGGGGCTCAGGTTCCAAGCTGTGAGCTCTGGCTCGTTCCCTGCCGGCCTCCGGGGCTGCAAAGGGCTGGCTAGGTATGCGACTCGGAGGCTGTCGTGGAGGCCCTTCTTCTGTCTCTGTGCTGGGCTGCTCGCTGGCGATGCCTGCAGCCTCCGACTGCCTCGACACCTGCACCTGCAGTGGCTCCTCCTCAGGGCTTGTCTCGGGCTGGGCCTGGGGCTGGGCCTCCTCCTGGGGCTCCAGCTTGGTGGTGGACATCTTGTCAGAGCCAGGCTCAGGGGCCCAGGGGGGCTCAGGACCCTGGGAGCTCTCCCCCTCCTTGTTGATGGCTGCAGAGGACAGGACCTGGGCCTTGGGCTGCACCCAGCAGTGGCTGAGGATCTCATCGATGTGCAACCGCCGGTTGACATCGGGCTGCAGCATGCGGTAGATGAGGTCCTTGCACTCGCCCGTCAAGTGCTTGGAGCGCGGGAAGTCCACGCGATGCTCCTTTTGGATGCGCAGCATCTTCTTGATGTTGGAGTCATCGTAGGGCATGGAGCCGCAGACCATGATGTAGAGGATGACACCCAGGCTCCAGATGTCGTACACCTTGGGCTGGTAGGGGATGCCCTGCAGCACCTCAGGGGCCGCGTACGCCGCCGACCCACAGAAGGTCTTGCTGAGCGCCAGCCGGCCGCTGTCATCCCGAAGGCAGCGCTTGGAGAAGCCAAAGTCGGACAGCTTGATGTTGAAGTCCTTGTCGAGGAGAAGGTTCTCACACTTGAGGTCTCGGTGGACGACGTCCAGGTCATGGCAGTACTTGATGGCCGAGGACAGCTGGTGGAACTTCTTGCGAGCATCATCTTCCTGCAGGGCCCCCCGGGTCTTGATGAACTCCAGGAGGTCGCCCTGGACCCCGAGCTCCATGACGATGTAGACCTTGCCGTCGGATATCTCGAAGATCTCATAGGTCTTGACAATGGAGTGGTGGTTCAGCAAGGCCAGAATCTCAATCTCCCGGGGAAGGAATTTCTCCAGGAAGTCTGTGGGGGCTTTCTTGCGATCGATGATCTTGACCGCCACGTTGAACTTCAGGCGCTCAGAGTAAGCAGACTTGACTTTTGCATACGAGCCCTCTCCCAAATTTATTCCCATGATGTAGCCTCGTCGCTTGAGGATGGCCGCGTCATCCATGGTGCCGGGAGCGCCCGGTGCCTCTGGGGCTGCCCTCTACATCCCTGCGGGACATGGGCCAGCAGCGTCCTCATTTACACTGGACAGAGTCCTCTGGGCTGGCCGGGCCTGCCGTCCCTGCCTCCTAGAGGCCAAGACTCTGGGGTGGAATGTTCAGCATTGTCTCTTGGGTGACTTCAGTGGGTGAAGTCACAAAGGAACGGTGCCCTGGGGGAATGAGGCTCTGGCCTGAGCAACTTGGACTTGGAACCCTGGAAGGCTGGCCACTGGGCTGCAGCAGACCAGAGACCAGTGGAGTGTGGCCTTGTGCTCAGTGGGGACCCAAGGTAGGAGGGTGCTGTGGAGAGCACATTGGTTGGCCTGTGTCTCCAGACCAGAGCCAGGCCGGCCTGTGGAGCCATGGGCTGCTTCCTGCAACCCAGAGCACCCCTGAAAGTCTACGGCAGGTGGTCCCATCAGCCTGGATCTCAGCAGGAAACAGGAGACACACTGGAGCCCGGGCTGTCTGAGGAGGGCTCGGTAAGGGGATGGTTTACGAAGGTGGAGCAGAGTGTAGGGAGTCCAGGACAGTAATGGAGCCTGGAAGAAGGGAGGATGCTCACTGGGGCCTGGGAAGAGTAGTGCAGGGAGAGCCACCTTGAGAGAAGCAGTGACCTCAGGTGAGGCTGCAGGACCTCACAGGGAGGGAGCTGGGTCTGAGAACATCCCTGACCTCTCTGCCTTCAGCCCTGGACACCTTTGATGGTGTCCATGCAGCAGGGCTGAGAAGAGGGGAGGTGGGTCAGAGGGGGAGGCAAGGATTCCTAGCCCTGTGGCCACTGCAGTTTAGGAAGCCAGGGCTCTGCCCTCTCCCTGAACAGTTTGGCTGGACTTTTCACTTCCCTGTGCTGCTCTCCTCATCCAAACCCTCGTGGGCTTCTCCAACAGTGGCCCTGCGAGGGGTGGAGTGGGTGGGACAACTGGCAGGGATTTGTGCTCTTGGCTTTGAGTTCCCTCCTGGGGGTTTGCCCAGTGGCTGTAGCCCTGGCAGGCTCCCAGGGCAGATCTGGGGCTGAATGCAGAAGACTGGGACTGGATCCCTCTGTGAGGGCAGCAGCTGCTCCTGGGATTGCTCCCTAAGGATGTGTGAACAGGGCATTGTTGGACAGGGGCCACAGTTTCTGCCAGCAGCGGGGCGCCTCTGCTGTGGGCCCCCTTTGTCTAGCATCCACTCCTGGCCACGCCCTAAGGCAGCAGGAGCAGGCAGGTCTGGCCTAGCCTTGGGATTGACCTTGGTCCCATCTGGCCAGAGGGAGTGGGTGCCTCTCTCAGATGGCCCGGAGTGTCATGGGCTGGAATTCTGGGACCCTGGGACCCTTGAAGGGGCTTGGGGTGACTGCTCCTGGGGAGTGACTTGGTGGGCTGGAGGTGGGCTGGGTGCCACCAGCCTTGGCCCTCCCCCCTCTCTCTGCACCCATGGGCCAGGCCTTGTGTGCGTGGCTGGTGGTCCTTCCTTTGGACAGCTCTCTCTTGCTGAGGACACCCCATCTGCTGCACTCCTCCCACAATGACAGGTGCAGGGCCAGCGCTGGGAGCATTGTTCCCAGCGGCTTCCCTTCGTGCAGACGGGGCCTGCGGAGGCAGCAGCTGTGCCCGCGCTCCTCCCCCTCCTCTTGGCTGGGCAGGGCCCTTCCTCCAGAGGCCGGCTTTGCTCAGTTCCTAGGATGTGGGCTTCCCTGTCTGTTGGCGCTCCTTGTATGTATGACCCTCCTTGAAAGCTGCTTCCTCCCCCGTTTGAAATATTTCAGTGTGTGTGCCAGCACGGCCACACCTGCGTGCTCCTCACGGCGTGGAGCCACCTCCAGAACCTCCTCAGAGAGTCCGGACCCCTCCAGTTTTTCTCATCTCTCTCCGCTGCCGTTCGGCCTTAAAAAAGACCACTTTGGGGCGCGCTCTTGGGCTGCTGACTGGACCTGGGCCTGCAGGTGCGCGAGGTGTGACCTGGTGTCCCAGGGCGGGCTTCACCCGGTGCCCCGCCGCCGGGTCTCCGCACGCCCCACCCCGGGATCGCCAGCCTCGCCAAC